TTAAGAGGCAGTCCATGTCAACACCACGTCCGACACTTCCGGCCACAGCCAACGACAAGAGCTCAGCGTCTAAGTCTTCGGCTGCCCCAGCTGCTGTGGGCAGCAAGTCCAAGTCCAAGGCCAGAAAGGTGAAGCCAGGCCACAAGCGCACGATTGCGGAAGATCTCACGCTGGACAAGCAAACACCCATCATGGATGTGAAGGCCCGGCGGTACAGCTGCATGAGTCATTAACGATAGGTTTGTCCCTGGTCCTTCCTTGGGTCCCCAGGCGGAAGTGGCGAAGATCCTAGAGGCACTGATTCCAAGATCTCCGAGCCAGTCGGCCCTGCAGATGATAGGGCGCCTTTCCACGGAGCTTCTCGATACCAAAATCGCAGCGGAATTTAAAAGTATTCCGAGTTTCATGGGTGACAGGTTTGGGTTAAGCGTGCAGATTGCAGGTGATTTAACCTTGGTCAGGTCCCGTCTGTTGACAGGTTGCGTGTTAATAGTGCCGCAACGTGACACCCGGAAAGCCGCCAAGGAAATGGGTCTTTTGGGACCTCTTTGCCGGCACAGCACGAATTTCAGCCAGTCTGCGCGCGATGGCGGACTTGACCTCGCTGCCCACGTCCTTGGGCGCTACCTGGGCCATGGGCCCTGTGGTTGACATTGCTAGGCCAGATGTGCGCTGTGATGTTATGTTGCGTCCTCCGAGTACCATTTGCAGTCGTCTGTGCCTGTGTTCATATAACATATATATATATATTACATGTGATCAGGCTGTCCGCGGAGCCGACGCTAGTGCTCGACTTGCTGAAGCCGTCAGACCAAGAGCTGTGCTGGCAACTGGTGCTGGAAGCAAGACCATTGTGGATTCAGCTGAGCCCTCCATGCACGTTTTTCGTGCGCTTAAGCCGCCAGAAGCCCAGACTTCTTCTGATGCATCATCCATTGGACCATCCCAGACCCAAACCCCTAAACCACGAACGGCTCCCCGCGAAGGTTTCCAGGCCAGACGAACGGATGCCGAGTGGAAGGAGCTTCGCGAGAGGGCTGAGAGGCTGTGGAACTTTTCCATCCATGTGTGTCAGCACCAGCTCTCCCAGGGGCGTGCAGCCAGTCTGGAAAATCCACCTGGGAGTTACGCTTGGCAGCTTCAGCGATCGCAGCAAGTCCTGGGCCTGGGTGCTGAGAAGATGACGATCTACGGCACGTCGAGCTGCAGCTGGGGCATGGTAGATCCAGTGTCCGGCCGTCCTTACCGCAAGCCTCAGCGTTTCGCCTGCTCTGAATCCCTGGCCAGTCTCAAGAGGAAGTGCCAGTGCAAGCAACAGGGCAAGAAACATCAGACGGCCAGCGGACATGCCAGAGGCCACGGCCGTAGGAGCACCTTGAGTGGCAAATATCCCG